CCTCCATGTGTTGAAATGTCTTTGCATGTTCTTGTTGCAGTTGATTTCTAGTTTCATGCCATTGTGATCTGAGAGGATACTTGATATGATTTCAATCTTCTTGAACATGTAGATATTTAGTTTGTGTCCTATCATGTGGTCTATCTTTGAGAATGTCCCATGTGCACTTGAGAAGAATGTGAATTCTGTAGTTTTGGGGTGTAATTCTCTGTAGATATCTATTAAATTCATTTGGTCTAATGCTTCATTTAGAGTCTCTGTTTCCTTGCTAATTTTTTGTCTGGAGGATCTATCCAGTGATGTCAGCGGGGTGTTGAAGTCCCCTGCTATAATTGTATTGCTGTTGATTTCTCCTTTGAAGTCCTCCAGGAGATTTTAAATATATTTTGGTGCTCCTATATTGGGTGCATATATGTTTATCAAGGTTATATGTTCCTGTTGGATAGATCCTTTCAATATTATGTATTGGCCATCTCTGGACCATAGGCCAAATCTCTAACTGCTGAGTCTAATCAGCCAGAGCTGTAGTCGCCCTCTTTGTCTCTAGTTATGGCCTTCATTTTGAAATCTATTTTATCAGATATGAGTATTGCTACCCCAGCTTTTGTTGCTTTCCATTTGCTTGGAAAAATTTTTTCCATCCCTTCAATTTCAACCTATGTGAGTCTTTTGTTTTGAGCTTCGTCTCTTTTAAACAACATATAGATGAGCCATGCTTTCTTATCCAATCAGCTACTCTGTGTCTTTTTATCGGAGCATTCAGTCCATTTAGATTTAAGGTGATTATTGATATGTATTTGTTTATTGCCATTTTTGTTTAGTGTGGTTATATTTTTCTTCCTATTTCTTCTACTAATTACAGTAGTCCTTTTAACATTTCTTGCAGTGATGGTTTGGTGGTAATGTATTCCCTTAGCCTTTTTTTGTCTGGGAAGCTCTTTATTTGACCTTCTATTTTGAATGATAGCCTTGCTGGGTAGAGTAATCTTGGATTCAGATTCTTGTTTTTCATGACCTTGATTACTTCATGCCATTCCCTTCTAGCCTGTAGTGTTTCTTGTGAGAAGTCAGCTGAGAGCCTTATGGGATTTCCTTTGTAGGTAACCTGTTGCTTATCTCTTGCTGCTTTTAGGATTCTCTCTTTGTCTTTAGTTTTTGGCATTTTAATTACTATGTGTCTTGGTGTGGGCCTGTTTGGGTTCTTCTTACTTGGGACTCTCTGTGCTTCTTGAACTTGAATGCCTTCTTCCTTCACCAAATTAGGGAAGTTTTCTGTCACTATTTATTTGAATATATTCTCTAACCCTTGCTCATTTTCTTCTTCTTCAGGGATTCCTATGATGCGAATATTATTACGTTTCCAGTTGTCCCACAGTTCTCTTAAGCTGTCTTCCTGTTTTTAAATCGTTTTTTCCTTTTCGTTTTCTTATTGGTTGATTTTTTTTCTACCCTGTCTTCTAATTCACTGTTGAGGTCCTGAGCTTCCTCTACTCTGCTTTTAGATCTTCCAATGTGTTTTTCCTTTTAGATATTTCATTTTTTATCTCTTCTTGGTGGCTTTTAATTTCCAATTGGTTTATTTTCAGCATCTCTATGTCCTTACTCATGCTGTTGAGCTTCGTCAAGATCATGGCTCTGAATTCTAGCTCTGGTAGCTTGCCTAACTGCTCCACATTGATCTCATCTTCGGTGGAGGTGTCTTGTTTTTTCATTTGGCTTCTGTTTCTGTGTTTTACCATTTTGGCTATCACAGTGGTCTTTGGAGCCTGTCAAGTTTTCCCTGTGGGTGTTGGTGTTCTGCTGTTTGTGGCTCCCTTTCCTGGGTTTAGATGAGCGAGGGAGGACCCACGTTAAACACCACTGTGAAGTGTTACTTTCCTGGTTACAGTTGCTAGCCCAGGAAAGGTACTGTTATCCTCTACCTGTTTGCCTGGAGGCTAGCAGTTGAGTTTACTTGAAGAGTTTTGGTTTGTCAGTTGATTGAAAAACTCCCTCACTCAGCAAAAGGTGATTTCCCGAGGGTGGGGCAGATGCTTGTTGTTAATGAGCCTCAATGAACATTTCAATGACCCACAAGTTGGGGTTATATCTCCGAGGGAGGGGCTGCTGCCTCTCCCCAGAGCCCTGGGAAGGAGCAAGATGGCCACTGTCCTGCATGGCTACAACTCAGCAAAAGCTCTGAGTGCCGTCCAAATCCTGAGGGTCTCCACGCAGTTCCAGTCCGGTCTGCCCTCCCTCTGCCGGAGCCCAAGGTGAGTGGCTGTGGCTCTTTTAGCCTCTTTCCCGGCTCTGCGCTGTCGAGCCACTTGGGTGTTTATCCTGAGTGGGCTGCTCCCAGCTAAGGCCGCTGCCGAGCTGCCAACCATGGGCTCCCAGCCCCCGTCTCGCACCTTCACAATCCTACCAGCATCGAGTCAGTGTCTCTGGTTATGTGGTCCTCACAAACTGCTTTTCTGTTGCTTTTTCCCATCGATTTGTCTGTGTTATAGTTGTAATTCCAGTTTGGTTTTGGGAGACGGTCTGTGTAGCTCCGTTCACTCCGCCGCCATTTTGGTTCTCAGATATATCTCGGTTGCCTCTTGTATGTGCTCCAACCAGGGCTCAAACCCACAACCTAGGTGTGTGCCCTGACTGGAATTGAACCCACAATCTTTTTGTGTATGGTACCATGCTCCAACCAGCTGAGCCACCCGGCCAGGGCTCCTCTCTTTCCTTTTTGATATATGTAAGCATTGCTACTAAGTTTAGATCAGTGGGTAACTACTCTAGGGAGAGTATGCAGAGAACCTAATATAGAAGAATCTTCCTTGTTTTTAGTCCCATTGTCTAGAATGCAGAGGAACTCTAAAAGTCTTGTCATCTTCCTCCCATTCTCTTTATTCTTATGTGATAATGGACATTAGCAGCCATCTACATATATGTAAAGTATACTCCTACTACAGCAAATTTTAGTGTAGATCTTTAGTTTTGTCCTGAACCATGATGCCTAAGGGTTCACTTTTATTTTTTTATTTTTTGTTTTTATTTTTTTTTTAATCCTCACCTGAGGATATTTTCCCATTGATTTTTAGATAGAATGGAAGGGAGCGAGGGTGGGAGAAAGAGAAACATCGATGTGAGAGACACATATCGATTGGTTGCCTCCTGCATGACCCTGGGGCTGAGGAGTGAACTTGCAACCCAGGTATGTGCTTTTGATCAGGAATCAAACCTGAGACCCTTTGGTCTGTGGGCCGACACTCTAACTGCTTACTTAAACCAGCCAGGGCTGAAGTCTTCACTTTTAGAAGGCATAGTTTTCTTCTAGACGACAGGATAGATTTTCTCTAACATTTTGAAGGAAACTTGTAGATCTAGTGATGATAAAATTGAGGCTACCAGTTTTATATTGTAAGAACCTCTTAGTTGTTTTCCTGTTTTATGAAAATATAAACTTAAAAAGCTGTTATTTTACTTGATAGGTATTTTTAGAAGATCAATTTGCAACCTGGGACCTAACCTTTTCTAGTTATTATAAAACCAGCAGTAATATAAGAGAGCAAGGAAAAAGAATCTTAAAATATTTTTTGTTTTTGTTGGCATTTATTATTATTTTCTGGTACTTTTTAGTTTTTGTAAATGTTAGGAGAAAAGATGGAAAAGAGGAGAAATTCTAGGATGATAATTACAATGTTAGCAGACTCTTCAACTAATATTCTTTTGTTTGTGGTTTCAAAAGGAGTTAAAGTGGGTCAGAATTTCTCTTTGAATGTTTCTACCTTTTAAAAGCTAACACTTAAGTTCATTAAACCTAAACTTTATATACTACCATATTGAAGGTAAGTGTTCTTCTTGTTTTCTCATTTATTTTACAATAAGCTGATGTTTTGGTAGAGGTAGATATTAATCCCTAGTCTTTTAGTCTCTGTGTCACACTGGGACATTCAATAGTTTTCTTAGAACTGCATTTGAGTCAATATAAAGTTAGGGACATAAATGTTGAATGTACTTTATTTTGTGTATTTATAGGAACCAGACAGCAAGGTTTAAAAAGTGATTTTGTGTCTGGAAATAGGTAGATAACATGGAAGATGAGGATTGTTTAGTTAAAAAAATGTTTTTTGAGAGGTTTTATCTTGACAGGATACAGGAAGAGAGTGAGGAGAATGTAAGTCTTGGTGAAACATAACTCAAAGGCATATAGTTAGTAATAGCATGCTGTTTGTTTGTATATGAAAAATATCAATAACAGATTGATTTAATTTATCAAAGGAAAAAGAGAAGGGGGGAGAAGGGAAAAACAGACGTATTTGGGAATAGTGAATTTTGTTTACCTTTCTTTGGGTGAGCTGCTGATTTAACTGGCAGCTGGTGAAGAGGACAGTCAGGATATTCTGCCTTTGGGCAGCTGGGTGGGTCATCAAAGAAAGCAGTTTTGGTTGTTTATAAATCTCCAGAAGACCTTTCTTGTGTAACTGTTACTTGCACATAGGAGGTTGTCTCTCTATTATGTCTGCCACTATCCTCCTGAGCATTTCCATGCCAGGTCTACATCAGAATGTCTCACTTGCTTTAATTATGATCTTGTTTCTATGATTTCTTCTATAATTTTGTATTCTTTGGTGTGTTAGATTGCCTTTCCAAAAGTTAATGCTACATCTTCCTGGGGTATTGCTGGTCATTTCAATCATTATTTTAACACTGTGTGCATGTAATTTGTTAGTTCTTAGATAAAAAAGTCTTAGTCTGTGATTGAGACTGTATGGGAAACCTAAACCACAATGTGTATGCAGTGGATTTGTCTGGCCAGTTCTCTAGTAAACCAACAAAAAGTGTTTACCCAAAGCAGTTTGTGCTCTTTTACCTTACTGTTGCTTTGAAAGTTTAGGTTGTGAATTTGGATTTTTTTTTTTTTTTTTTTTTGCAAATTGTCTTTTCTGTAGTCGAATTTACTGTTTTTATATGCTTTATCTTCGATGAAGAATGGGAATAATCTAATGGTAAATTCTGCTTTCTTACAGTCAAAGGCGATTGGTTTGTTAGATGTGGATGTGTATGGCCCATCAATTCCAAAGATGATGAATCTTAAAGGAAGTCCAGAATTATCACAGAGTAAGTAAAAAGAAATAAATAGTATGATAATAGTTACACTTTTATTTAGTATTTATTACCTGCTTGGTACTAAATAAAAGTCAGGCATTTTACTATGTATTATGTGCACTCAGAGTAATATAGTAATTCTGAAATCAGATATGGAGCTAGACTGCCTGGGTTTGAATTCCAGATCTGTCACTGACTGTGTGGGTTTGAGTGAATTGTTTAACCTCTTTGTGCCTCAGTACCGCCCTCATACGTAAAACAGGGCTAACGATTGCTGTGAGTAATCGCTCAATTACAAAATTGCTGTAAGTGTAATGCATTTGACACTATCTGGCACATAGTAAGTGATCAATAGTTAGCTCATCACGATTGTCTCTTCATATTAAATGTGTGGCTCTATGGAAGTATTTGAATAGAAAGTATATAACATATTTGTGTTAGAAGAGATGAAAATTATTTTCTCTAATCAGATTGTTGTCATACCTGTCTTAAAGTGTTAAAAAACAAACAAACCCAGAATGTTAGTTTCTTTCCCCAGCCTTCAGTGCCATCAATAGGAAAGAGTAATTTTTTTGAGTAAATCTTTTAATATTTACTATTCTTTTTTTTTTTTTTTAATCCTGACCCGAGGACATTTTTGTATGTATCTTCAGATAGAGCAGGAGAGAGAGAGAGGGGAAGAGAGAGAGAGAAACATCGATATGAGAGAGACACATCAAATGGTTGCCACCCACACAACCCCAACTGGGGCTGGGAACAAACTGCAACCGAGGTACGTGCCCTTAGCGGGAACTGAACCCGGGACTCTTTGGTCCACGGGCCAACGCTCTAACCGCTGAGCCAGACTGGCCAGGGCTACTATTCTTGTTATTACATTTTTCTCATAAAGCTATCAAATGTAAAGCTTTAGGAACAAGAAAGTGTGCCCTGGCCGGTTTGGCTCAGCGGTTAGAGCGTCGGGCTGCGGTCCAGAGAGTCCGGGGTTCAGTTCCCGCTAAGGGCACATACCTTGGTTGCAGTTTGTCCCCGGCCCTGGTTGGTCATGCGGGTGGCAGCCACTCGATGTGTCCCTTTCATTTTGATGTTTCTTTCTCTCTCTCTGTTCCTCTCTCTCCCTCCCATTCTACCTGAACAAAAAACGGATAAATGTCCTCGAGTGAGGATTAGAAAAAAGAACAAGAAAATGCTATGATCAAAAAATGAAAAATTGGAACAACTAATAACTTTTCTTGAAAATTGGTTTTAAGTGAAAAGTTTATTTCTAATTATAATGAGTATAAAATCGAATAACTTCTTTTTGTTTCTTATTGGACTTTTTATTTTCCATGGATCTAGAACAAAATGACTGTATTTACTAAAGAGTATTTATTGGATTATCTACATACTGTGTTTCTTTTGTTGTTGTCATTAAAAGTTAGTTATAGATGTTGTCTGCTATTTAAGATGCTTTTGTTTGTATTTTAGTTGTTAAAGTCAATCACAATATTAAATTCTGGATAATTATTTATGAGACAATAAGGATTCTTCTTAATATTTTGAACGGAACTTGAAGATCTAGTGATGATAAAATTGACCCTAGCAGTTTTATATTGCAAGCACCCACTCGTTTCATGAAAATATAAACTTAAAAAGCTAAGTTATTCTAGTTTTTTTGTTCTTTGTCATTTTAGTGGCATTCATACTTAGTTTGCAGATATATGACATGAGTCAAGATGTCAGACTTTTACAAAGCAGCAGTAATGAATTCACATACCTGGCTTAAATGATGGACTCATTATGTCTGTTTCTTGATTAAAGTAATGTGAAAGCGGGTGCATGCAGCACATGAGTGATGGCAGATTGGAGCCCCTGGTGTCAGTCTTTTCTGCAGTAGTCTGTTCAGTCTGTGCCAACGTAAATACTCGGAGTGAACTTTAATTTCTTCCTTTTTGTTTTACTGAAGTTATAATCTTAAATTTGATGTTTGCAAATTGTCTGCCATTATTACATAAGCTTTCTGGTAAAGATGAGCTATCGGAAATCCTGGAGAACTTGAAAAGAATACTTTGTTGATAAGCTGATATTAAGTCCCCCAAGAAATAAACTGAATTATCTTAAGGCATTCACTTAAAAGAATGTGGATTCTTAAAAGCCCACTTATAAATTATCTTTTGAATCTTAGATAAACCTGGCACCATTATACTAATTGGCATCATTTTGACATTTCTATATTTTATCATGTCAATTTATTCTTTTGTACTCTCTATTACAGAACACACAATGCAGTGTGAAAATATCTAATTAACAATAAAGAAACCTGTGAAAGATTTGTTTTCAGCAGTTTAGATTTTGGGGAGATAGACCAGTGAGTGGAATCTCAGCTTTGTATATGTTCCTCTCATTAGTGGACTTAGCTAGACAGTCTTAGGGATAGTAGGACTTCAGGATTGTCCCTTTCTCATTATTTAAACATGCATGGTAATGTAGTTTTGGTCAATTTGTTTATTTTAAAATTCCATGTTAGTGTTTGCAGAGAAACACTTATTCACGTTCTCATATCTTTTTTTGGGGGTGGGGGATGGGATTGGGGAGAGACTGTAGAAAAACCATACTTTTTGAAGTTATGTGACTTTTTAGTCTTGATTACCAAGAGAAATTTAATATTTGATTCTAAAGAAGTGAATTCAGTAATTGGAGAAAAATTTAACTTTATAATAGTTTTGGGTTTCTTAGGCTGAGATTGTTTCCCTCAGTTTAAAATGACAGTAGTGATTTTTATATGTTTTTATACAAAATTTTGGTAATGGAAAGTCTAGCCAGTTTATAGAAAGAGTATTATACAGAAACCGCAACATGTTGACATTGTAATGACTGCAAATGACCAGTTGCTCTGGGAAACTAATGGAGGTTAGAATAAAATTCATGGACAGTTGGGGAAACTATCATCTAAGCATGAATATACATTTTTTTTTTTAAAGAACAAATACCAGTTATTTGTCTTTTTAACTCTCCAAACAATATGATATTCAAATTTCATATTACAATATAGACAAATTATAGCCCTAGAAATTATTGAGTGGAAAGGTTTTCATTTGAAATTGCAAGTGAATAAGTGGTAACTGCACACGTAGATGTGTTGCTGCACTTCACTAATGTAAATATTCTTTTTTTGTGATCATGTTAAGGATTTTTACTAAGCTTTCTCAAATGACTCTTATTAGTAGAAATATCTGCTTTCCTTCACAGTTTTGTGATGATAAATCATTTTCAGAATACTTATGAATTCATTACTACTTAGTTTTACTAAAGAATGTATTTTAATGTCCTTAGCTAATAGAGTGGGAACATTTTAAAGCCTGCAGAGAGAGGTTACTAAAATTGAAATGTCAAATAATTTTATCAAGGATGACATAGTGCTTATTAATGATTAAATATGAGACTTTTTTGAGTAGGATCCACTTGTCTTTTCTGTTTTTGGGAGATAGAAATTTTGCCCTCATGACAGTGTTCTGCTTTATCTGTCTTAAGGTATTAAGTGTTTTTCAAGTTTAAGAATTGTGTGTGGGCTTATGAGACAGAGAAATTGTGGAAAATTAGTTTGGGCAAATGACCTTTTATAGTAGTACTCATTTCCAGTAAGAACTACAAGGAAGCAACTAAGATTTCTCAAAGGTAATTTAAATGCATAAAGAATGAGAGGGAACTCTACTTATTTCTGAAGTCATCTTGCTGTTTTCTTCCTGGGATTAGAATTAGGAATGTTACTGAAGTTGTTGAGATGGATGATTAAATTCTGATGCAGTGGAGCTCCCAACGCTTCTCATTTATAATTTGCTGCTTCTTGTCATTGTCTTGTGGACCCTTGGGTTTTATCTGATGCTACAGTTTCTCTGATTATCTTTTGGGAAAGGTTTTGGGATGTATTCCATAATCACTGTTACAAGACATGACTTTTTATTTGCTACTTTCCTGAATTATTTTTATAACCTCTTTTATACCTGGAATATTAAGACAGGGTGATATTCCTAACATAATCATAGGTTGAGGGAATCTTAGAAAGTTGTTTTGGTTTGCTCTGGCTTTAGGTGCTTTTACCTTTGAAATATTTCAGAGATGAGGTCTATGTTCTGTGAAGAATTCTATCACCCTTGTTTATCAAAACAAAAGTCTGCCTATCTTTCTACTTGGCTCATTGTTTCCTGCACAGATTGTTGAATAGACCTGAATTAAATATCTGTTAGTGTGGTAAACCCTTTTCCCTTTCCTTTGACAGTCCTGAGCTGAAGACTAGCCAGCTGTTTTTTGCACTTTTACTTGCTGTACTGCAAACTGGCTTAGCCAGGGGCTGTAGCAAGTGAATCATTGAAGGATGCCTTAATAATTATAGAACAACTAAATGTATTTTAGTAGCTACTATCTGTTTAGGATTAGCATCTGTCGAAAGACAAGATTGGTGTTCTATACTTTCACATTTTGACTTATGTCAGAGAGCTATCCAGAAGATGTGTAGTATAGTACATTTGTAATGGGGTAATCTGATAAGGCTATTTGTATTTCACAGTTCTCTTTTCCAGTCTAGCCTCTGGTTATAAAAACAAGCAAACACCTTTTTTTTCTCTCCCCTTTCTTATTTCCTAACCTTTTGATGATTTTCAATGTTTTTCAAAATTATCAGAACGTTTTCAGTATCTTCTCTCAGATGAGAAAAGGAAAAAGAACTTACTATTGTTATTTAGTGGGAGGTTTAGCTTGTAATTTTATTTGTAACACTCTGTGCTTCTTTATGTGCCCTGCAAAATTTTTATGTTTTAAAATGGACCTCATTGCCCTGGCCGATTTGACTCAGTGGTTAGAGCATTGGCCTGCGGACCAGAGAGACCCGGGTTCGGTTCCCGCTAAGGGCATGTACCTCAGTTGCAGTTTGCCCCCGGCCCTGGTTGGGGTCGTGTGGGTGGCAACCAGTCGATATGTCTCTCTCACATCGATGTTTCTTTCTCTCTTTCTCCCTCTCTCCCTCCTGTTCTATCTGAAGA